AGTGAAACTCACCCACGGCTTACACAGGTTAATTTTATAATTTCTATGTTGACCTAGTTTTACTTCAATATTTAAATTAGGATTATTTATTATTTTCTTGTAAATATCCAATAAATTAGTTGAACCAATTAGTAAAATATGTAAATATTAAATAATGATTGTATTTTTGAGTGCACACGTCTGCTTTCGTTCGCGTTTCGAGCGGAAGAGGATGCATATGTCTTTCGTTCAAGTCCGCTCGAATTAAACCAATATTGGCTTATTCTGTTAAGAAATTCTTAGTAGCAGATCAATAGGAGGCTAGCAGTTTGTATAATCGTATGTCCCGGGGAACATGTAGGTAAAGCTGTCGATCCTGATCTGTTGTTGGATTGCCGTCCAATAGAGAGCACCTACATTTATGTTTGCTTACATACTTATGCACAATAAATAATAATAAATAAATGTAAGGATATTAACACACAGCATCATCTAGTTCCATGCTAAGCTACAACCTACAAGGCTTGTGTTATGGATACCAGATAGAGATAGTTGATACACTATACTTACATATATAACATTAAATGCATACATACTATACATACTATAAATATAAACACCCATGACGAGTACAAATATTCGTGCTCATCACACAAATGAATGCCCCCAGCAGGACTCGAACCCGCGACCGCTGGCACAGCAAGTAGGGTCACTATAAACTAAGCCAAACGTATCATCAAAAATATTACATTAACTTTACACTTAACAGCAAGCTATATTATTGAAAAGTTTTATTGAAATCCATTCAGTAGTTTTTGCGTGACTCCATACATCTATACATCCAGACATCATACATCCCCACAAACTTTCGCATTTATAATATTAGTATGATATACTGGTTAGCCTCTTTTAAAAATAGCAATTAGATATTACTTATTATATTGACATATAGATTAGCCAAACGTATCTTCAAAGTTTAATAAGTTTTTGTGCATTAAACCTAGTGAGCCTTTTCGCATTAGGCTAGTCTTAAAGAGATTGGTCGGTACTATCAAATATCTGGATTGTACTGTATCTACCTACCTACTAAGTAAGTTTTAATTTAATATGAATAAATTCTGAAATAAACCTTGCATAAAGCGGCTATGTTGGATTATTCTTTTGTCACATGGCAAGAGAGTATAGACGTATTTTTCACAGAGGTATACCTATAATAGTGCGAAACACATGTCATATTATGTATATAAAGATAGTAGCTCTGTACGTCTGCTTGTAGCCGTTTCATACTTAAGTGGCTGAACAGATTTAGATGAAATTCAGCACAAACATAGATTGCATAATGGGGATGTAGGTACCTATAAAGACTTTACTTTTATCTACTTAAAATATGGGCGCGGTTAAAAAATATTATAGATAATTTACATTTACTGGCAGCTATTTTATCTAGTTTCATATTGTGTGAAGAAATACTAATTGCATAGTAGACTCTTTTTAGGTAATAATCATATTACGGTTTACGATTTTTCTACTCATGACAACTGTTGTACCTACTGAAATTTTCTATAATTAAAGTGTCCCAAAATGAATTTTAAATATGTAATTTATACAGGGTCATTTTTAATTTACTAAAAACCTTTTGGGAAAACACTATTTACAACATAACAACAACATCTTTAAAAAAAAAGTTATATATCTTAAATTTAACAAAAATAAAAATATATTTTTTCTTGTTACAGATGTTGTTGTTTTGATATAAGTAGTATATTCATAAAAGATTTTCAGTAAATTAAAAATTACCCTGTTTATAGATATAAATTACATGGCAAAGGAGTGCGCCCTCTTCCCCTAGTTATGGCAAAGGCTTTATTACTTATGATTTATGGGCCGAGCCTGTCGTAGCCGCCCCCCACGCGCTACGCCTTTGATTCACCTTTGAAAATATAAGTATCTACATATTTGATCCCTATTTTTATTTATTAAATGGCCTTAGCGCAAATAATACAGATTTCGTAAAAATACTATTAGATTTTATAAATATTTATTATCAGAATATTATTCATCATACTTTAACATAATAAATACATTTTTCACCCCTTTTTTATTTCTTTATCTATACTTATTATAAAAATAAGTCCCCCGGCCGCGTCTTTCTGTCCTCCTGTCTGTCCTCCTGTCTGTCTGTACGCGATAAACTCGAAAACTACTGAACGGATTTTTATACGGTTTTCAACAATAGAAAGAGTAATTCTTGAGGAAGGTTTAGGTATATAATTTATTATGCTTTTATGTAAATTAGCTGAAATACGGCGACAAATGTTGAAGAGGTCGCAAAAAATCTCGCCAAATGGGAACTTTCCACGCGAACGCCGCGTAAACTAGCAAAGATACAGTTAAGTAATGTACTAGAGAATTCAAAATCTATAAAAATGCTACAAAAAAGTCCGCGATAGCATATCTCTATCTCTTACGGTTGACTTACAATAACCACTTTTATGTTAACATTTTTAATTAAAAACATTACGTTATTTTCAAAGTTATTTTCTTTAGTTCGGTATTAATCCTTATCCAAATGAATATTTTAGTTAGCTTAGTCATTTAATGCAGATTAAAATTGCTCTTTACACTAAATCAATCAGATGAATAGTTTTTGAGATATCGTTGTTAGAAGTAATTAGTAGCGAAACATTTTTAATGCTTGGCGAGCATTGAGATGCCTACGGCGAGTCCATCCCCTCTGCCCCGCATCGCTCGACCGCCTGCTCAAGCTATATAAACCGGGCGATGTAGCGCGCGATCCTAGGATACTTTTTACCGCGGGAAAATATCTTATTTCTGAGGAAAAATACAAAAACTGCAATGTAAGAGTATACTAATATGTAACACCTAAGAATTTAGTTTTTGGTCATCTGAACGCGGGCGGAGCCGCGGGCAATGCTAGTTATGTTATAAAAGCATGCACTTTTTTAAATTTGTCCGAATGTTTACTGCGCAGATTGCAATGAAATTTTATTACCAACTTACTAGCATTGCCCGCGGCTTCGCCCGCGTTCAAATGACCAAATAAAATAGCGCTATTGTTATTTTTTTTCAAGATAAGTTATTTTTAATAGTTATTGCCTTATTTAGTAAGTTAGCTTGCTAAAATATACATCGTGGTTTTATTCTAACCAGTTTTTGTTTTTTTTTCTCAGAAATGAGATATTTTCATGCGGTAAAAAGTTTCTGTGATGCGGTAACAGGCAGACAGACAGATAGACAAAAATACTAAAAACTAGATTCGTCTTCTGTATCGATAATAATGTCTATTTCAATAAAATTTTCCAAAAAAAATTTAATGTACAGATTCGATTCAGTTAGAATTTTATTATATGTAAAGATTAAGCTAATAACTTGAATTGTAAAATTCGGTAAGTTTCATTTTAATTAATCCAGTAACATCTAAAGTGACAGTTTAACTTCGTAGTTTTAGGCACTTCTTTTCAAAGGGGAAGATGATATTTCGAGGTAATATGAAGGTAATATGTAGTGGATATAGACTTAGACTAAATATAATAGATACATAGGTACGAGGATTTTGCAGTAAAAGTTAGTAGGTAGATATGTTATATAAAAAATATTTAACTTAAAAAACTTTATTATTTACATATATAATATACCTGTACTATATAATAAAAACTCTATTGTATGTACAATAACAACTTATCGAATAACTTTTTTTTTAGTTCGTGGCGTTTTTAAATTCTGAAAGACTCTCTCAATGTTCAATAGTTATTGACTTTTAGCATTTTAATACTATTTTTAAATAAATCTGTAATATCCGACTATAGTTATTAGGTTCCAGTGACGAAGGATGAAATTTTAGCAGAAGCCTGTTCTGAAAAAAAAAAACACAAAAAAAACCACATTGATATACAATTTTTATACATGTATTAATGCAATAAAAACAATAAGGCTATTTATTATGTCCAAAAGAACGTTTTTACATTTAAAAATTAAATGTACCTACTTAATTAATAAAACTAACTTTTCGGATTATTTTGCGGATTTATTTTGATTTTTGGTTCCCGACGTTTCGAATGCTTTACAGCATCCATGGTCACGGGAGAGACTGAGGTGTTACATGTCTTGAATGTATAGTTGTTACAGACAGCCTACCCACAATTAACAAAATGAAAATTATTAAATAAAACTATCTTTTCGGATTATTTCGCGGATTTATTTTGATTTTTGGTTCCCGACGTTTCGAATGCTTTGCAGCATCCATGGTCACGGGAGAGACTGAGGTGTTACATGTCTTAAAGATATAGTTGTTACAGACAGCCTACCCACAATTAACAAAATGAAAATTGCACCAATTATATTACAATATATTTTTTTTTTAACTTTAAACATTTTTATAATTTTAATTATAATTGAATATGGAAAATTATTTATTTAATTTTTGCCATTATTTTTATAATTATTACAATTTTAAAAAATATACTAAGTAGTATATTTTTAGTGTTGCCATTATTATATTTATAACCATAAAGAAAAATATAAAAATATAGTATTAATTATTAAAGCCATATAATTGTTCTATGTGTAATTTAAAAAAGTTAAAATTAATTAAGGATAATCATTTTAATTTAGTTTGCTATTATTTAAAAACAAATTACTAAGCAACACTATTAATATATACTTTTACAAATGAAAAATATATTACTCTGATAAGCTGTCATTTTGATCTACACAGTATGAACTTACTACATCTGCCTGTCTGTTATGTTTATATTTATTATTTGATTTTATTATATTAATAACAGGATCCCATGACGATGGTAGTACCCAGCCATCTTCCCTATTGAAATTTGGATGTTTTTTAATTTCTATGGCTTCTCGAATCATTCTAGGGCGATATCGGTTTTCTTTCGCCAGGATTTGAGGTCTATCGAAACGAATATAATGGCTTGGGCGGTCCTGGCTATGTTTGCAGACAGCAGATGTTGTATTGCGACGGTGCTTCAGTCTCTCCCGTGACCATGGATGCTGTAAAGCATTCGAAACGTCGGGAACCAAAAATCACCCCCGTGCCTCGGAGAGCACGTAAAGCCCGTCGGTCCTGCGCCTTAACTCTCACTGATCGTGTCGAGTGGTCGTCCCACCGGAGTATGAGAGTGATAGGAATAGAGAGTGCAATTGTGTCTGCGTGTACATTTGTGCACTATAATATCTCCTACGCAGTTGGCTAGTCTCAATGAGATTGGCCGCCGTGGCCGGAATCGGTCAGGAGAACATCACTATTCGCATTAAATAAAGGTATCTACTATGCGTACTATTTGCATTAAAATAGCACCGCTCTGAAATAGACTCCAAGTAATTACTTAATTCTCAATGTTATTAATAAAACTTTAAAACACCAAAAAAGCAATCTGAACGTCAAATAGTAGGTATCGTCTTACAGTTCTCTTATATTTGGCAAGCCTTGTTACAGAGCGGCATGTAATATTTCTGTTTCAGCCACAGTTAAATATACGTATAAATTTTTCTTAAAATATACGTATAAATACTAAATAGGTAGATACAACACCAATTATCAGAGAATTTTAATGATTAGAATTGTTATCATTTCTTATCAAATTAATAAGAAAATATTTAAAGCACTACTCTTGCTTTAAACATATTTACAAATGAGATTGGGTATTTTTTATTTTAAAAACTTTTTTAAGACGGATAAACAGTTAATCTAGATACTAATAGGTATTATAAAGGACTGGGAAGGACATTTTATCCCGGAATTCATCCTTTAAGGGGGTGAAAATGGGGATGAAAGTTAGTATGGGGAATCCACCTAAAATAAATATAAAAGGTAACACAAAAGTTGAGAAAAAGGAAGAAGTTCTTTAATTAATCTCTCCACGTACCTACATACATAGGTATAAGGCAGAAGTACATTTCATATACCTATAGGTACAATTGTGATAGGCCTTACTCGTACAATATTTTTCAATTTCTAAACACTTAGAGAATGAAGCTTTGACAAATGCCTCTATAATTAATTATTTAATACAATTATTCATTTTGAAGATATGAAAATGGCGACTTCCACGCAATAGATAATGTCGGTCAATGCCACGACGTCGTGTAGGTACATAAGTAGAGCTATTATAAAGGAAAGGATATATTACTTACTATAAATTATTATTTTTAACCAACTTCCAAAAACAAGGAGGTTCTCAATTCGTCGGAATCTTTTTTTTATGTATGTTCACCTATTACTCGAAGACGCCTGAACCGATTTAGAAAATGTTTGTTTTGTTTGAAAGGGTATATTTCCCAGGTAGTCCTATATAAATTTTATCGAAATCGGTCGAGCGGTTTTTAAAAAAATCAATAATAAATATTTTTATTAAACAAATTGCTTAATCGAATATGTTATTAAAAACTTTCTTCCTACAAATTACCTGCTTATTACGTCTACACTAAAAATATAAAAATGAAAACTAAAAAAAAAACCGACTTCCAGGCACTAAAATGTAAAAAAATAAGTAAGCGGGGGTTTTCATTTAGAATAGATACCTAATCAGATATTTTCGTAGTCGGTGCCAGCGGACAATATTTTAAGATATGAATATCTAATAGGTAAATATGTATTTTACGTAGGTATCAAAATATATTAGATTTCCTATGCGTCGGCTGGCACCGACTTCGAAAATATCTGATTAGGTATCTATTCTAGATAAAAACCCCCGTTTAGTTATTTTTTACATTTTAGTGCCTGGAAGTCGGTTTTTTTAAGTTTTTTCTTATATAGATAACATTATTTACAAAGTTATACTCGTAGGTACCAACTCATAAAGGAAAGTCTTGATTATATAATATATACTTACTCTATATTTCGCAACTTATTTGTGTGTTTATACCTATAGTTAAAACAATTACTTACTTACTTATTAGATAATAGATACTTATAACAATGTTTCATATCGTTAGCTATTTTATTTAGACTATAATATACATACAGATTCATACAATATTAGTACCTCCACGACGGCGGACACGCCGGCGTTACAGTTAACAATAGATTTCTTAGAAAATTAATTATTTCTTAGAAATTTACCTGGAGGTGTTAAAATTAACTTTAGATATTATACTTACAACGAAAACTACAGCTATTTTACCAATAACATAAAAAAAGAAAATCTAAGAGAATTGAGATTGCAATGATTTTCATTAATTCATACCTATATAATAAAAACATGGACTAGCGGGTGGTTTGTGATTTTCATGCTTTGACATTTTTCAACCGACTTCAAAAAGGAGGAGGTTCTCAATTCGACTGTATTTTTTTTTATGTTTGTTACCTCAAAACTCCGTCATTTATTAACCGATTTGGACAATTTTTGTGTTGTTTGAAAGTGTATACTTCCAGATTGGTCCCATTTAAATTTCAAAAAAAAAACCATCCCTAAGGGTGGAAAAACAGCTAATGATGAATTTAACCTACTTCTAATTGTCATATTGACTTGAAACTTTGCAAGTGTTTCTATTTCCGTTGATAGTACAGTGGTTCGGTATTGTTGACCTGATCTGATGGTAAGGCCAAAAGGTGGATAGGTGGAACTTTTCAACGGCTAATAGTAGATACTTTGAGTTTGGGCTTATTTTGTTTGATTTGACAAGCCTAACACGTTAGAATTCTTACTTTGCTACTACTGTTTACACTAAAAAGGGAAAAATAAAAACTTTTTAACAAAAAAATAAAAAGCGACTTCAAACAAAAGCACTAAAAAGTAAAAAATAACTGATTGGTAGTTTTCATTTACTATACATACCTATTGAAATGTTTTCGAAGTCGGTGTGCTTTGCTTTGTATGGGCTGGCACCGATTTCGAAAATATTTGATTAGGCATGTATTTAATAGGTAGGCTTTAATTACTTAGCCTTAAAAGCAAAATAACTACTTATTAGGTTTTTTTATGTAACCTATATCCAAAATAACAATAATATATGCAAAATACAATTATATATAGTTAAAATACTGTATATCTATAAATAAAAGAAAAAAGTTCAAGTTCTACTTATAATTTCTTATCCAGTAGTAGATCGAGTTTTGAACGAAACCTTTTAACAGAAATACCTAACTATGATATAAAAATGTGAATTCATTTTATATTGCACAAAAGTCTTAAAATTCTTACTTATAGAAAATTACAATATTAGAAGGACAAACATACATACCTATAAGCTATGTACTTCTAAATTATTAACAAAAGGAAATTAGATACTAAGAGTTTTTCAGGTAATTTTTAAAAATAACTATTTAAAAAACATACAAAATAATTAACAAAATCACCAAATTGTACAAAATGCCTGTATATACCTACTACATACCTATATAATATAGGTAATATGTAGAGATAATTAAAACTCTATTTTTATTTTATTTTAAAATAATACGTAAAATTGTATAAACATTGTAGAAATGTAACAATTCATTTAATGTGATTTATAAAAGGTTATATTCCTACTAGGTAAATCTAAGTAAATGATTTTTTGATACTATTTTTTTTTAATTTAATCTAATCATTTATTTCAGGTAATATTTACGAAAAGATCTTAAATATGTAAGCCGAGGCCCATAACCTATATACCTTAAAACTAACATATACTTATATTAATTTTAAAACTTAAAAAACTATTTAACACGTAGTATAGACGTATAAGCTGTGTCAGCGGACAAACGACCTCGGAACTTCCGAAACACTATATACTTACATAGGTATAACTTGTTTTTTTACATACTAATTTTCATAATTTATATAAGACATTCGGATTAAGGATTTAAATTTAAGGTATACAAATTCTGTACGTAGGTAGAGCCAATTAAAGAGTTCAGTCACAGAAGTTGAAAGCTTCTTTTTTATTATATGTATAAATACTTAACTTAAACAAGTATCTTAATAAAATTATGTTTAAATAAAGTATCCTTTTGATTATTACTGTTTTTGTTTGACCATATTTTGTTAGTCATTTATATAATTTCATGAAAAATGAAATTAATTAAATTGTATCAAAATGTTAGCATTTCATGTCAATGATATAAAATTCTCAATTATAAATAAAAATCCGAAATTATTCTTTATATTAGATCAATTGTCTTTGGTTTAGTTAAATAACATAAGAATACCTTATATTACTGATACATAAGGCTAACACAGCACGTCTAACCGCATACGAGCACAACTTGGTCCTTAAGCATACCTACTACAAGGCTCTTAAAGTTTTAACATAAAGAAGTTAAATTAGGTCCTGTTAGAACTTTCCACCTTACAATTACTAACAAAGCACACAATAATAACAATGGGTATTAATATACTAATAAGCCTTTAAACCTGTCAACCGTTCAATGAACGTCCACGTTTAACATTAGCAGCTGGCAATTAAGCGATACGACTGCCCCCCACCACGCGGCGCGGCACACTGCCGCAGAGAGTTCGCGGGGGGGCTCTACCGGGTGGCAGCGCGGACGTCGACCAATGGCGGCGGCGAGGCGTCGGCATAGGCGCGGGCCGGGAGTGGGCGTGGTCGGTGCCGGCGCGGCGACCGGGGGCTCCCGTCACTCTCGCTCTAGAGCCACTAGAGGCTGTGCCGTCGAGTGGCGTCGAGTGTACCGGTCGGATGTCCGCGGAGGGCGGCGGCTACTCGCCGTGTCCGGCGGAGGCGCTGCCGGAGCTGAGCGCGGCGGAGCTGGCGATGAGCCTGTCGCCCAAGTCCGCGCTGCTGCAGCAGAACCTCTCCCAGCTGCAGCTCCAGCACTCTACGCCCTTCTCCGTCACAGACATTCTCTCCCCCATCGAGGAGTACAGGAAGCTCGAGCTGAACAACCCGCCGTCCCCGTACAGGTGCGTCGATCGATAGGGGGGCGCCACCCTCGAGTGGTCACAAGGATATAGTTTGACGTTTCGTGCAGGTATGTTGTGATCGGTCAATGAGTGAGGTCAACGATGTGCTCGTTCTTCGCGTGGACTTGGACGGTTTTATTTTTACGTTACGTGCCATCGATCCGTTTACACTTGTAATATTATATGCCGTATATGCGATGAATAGTAAAGGACTTCTGCAGCCTTGAACGACGTCATGCCTCTCGAAGCCTACATGCATATGTATGTATGTACTGTTAGACGCGACTTGTTCGTTTTGGTGTTCAAATTATGCGATTAATTAATACTTTAAAATAAATTAATAAATAATTTTAATAGTGATGAAGTGTTTTAAGTGATTTTAAAATTTAGCGATGACGTGTCACCGACAACTGTGATTCCAACAGTTAAGCGATCATGAATACGAATTAAATTTATAAAATTCAAAAATTATATTTAAAATAATATAGGCCATGGAACAATTAATTTAGTTCTTTAATAAATTTAATTATTTTTTCAAATTAACAAAAAGGCGTAGAATTTAATTAAGTATCAATATAGATAAAATAATTCGTGAAAAACTTAATTCCTTAGTCCATCTAAAAAATATATAGCTTTTTAATAGGATAATATGAGACTGAAAAGATCCTTTATTATTCAATAAATAATATAAAAAAATACGATAAAAAATGTCTCAAAGTACCTACAGTAGGTACCTACTTAAACCTATTGTGTCCGACGGATTTTTAAACGAACGTCTTTGTGAATAATTTAAATTAAATTGAACATTTGGATTTTTAAACTTTAAATATATTACTTACATGTAAAAAACTTAGTTCACTTTAAAATATCTAATATAAACTATAACAGATCGGAATTCATATAAGAAAACTCGTAGAGAATAACGTATTTTAATGTTTATTGAACTACAGATATTTTAATGGCGGCTAGTTTTTAAATAATAATAATCTTTAATAAGAATTATTACTTATTTAGTCACAATGATAAATTAATATGGCGTTTTGGATTACAAAAGTGAAAGGACTTGCGTTCCTGTCTTTAAAAAAAATCATTTTCTTTTGAGAGTATTTTAATTTGCATAAAATTTTCATAATATTAAAAATCAATAATTATAACAATTTAGTTTATATAGTATTTTATATTTAATAAGTAAATGGGTTTTTCTTTGAAAAATTATATGTTTTGTTAACGATCATACTCAAAAGTTCTATTTTTGTATAGGTTAAAAATTAATGCTAAAATTTGATAGCAGCATAACTTTTATAAATATTTGAGGACATTACAAATATAAATAACGTTTAATTTTAGTTTAACATAACAAAATTTTAGTAGCGGTCTAATTATTTTCATTTTTTTTTTTCAATTTTAAGTAGCCGTCGGTTATTTAAAAAAAAATATAGGAAATCCTTTTTTCTTACATTTACGCGAATATTTGATATTTTAAATAAAACTACCTTTTCGGATTTTTTCGCGGATTTATTCTGATTTTTTTTCCGACGTTTCGAATGCTTTGTTAACAGCAATCATGGTCAGGGGAGAGAGTTTTATTTAAAAGATTTTATCTAAATATTTCGTTTTAACATTTATTATTTATTAACTTTCCTATAGAAGTATTTGTTTTTGATATTAAGGTTTTATAACTAAAAATATTTTAAGGATCAAATATGCGTGATAGTAACATTTTAACTATTTTATATCAAAACTTTTATTACTGAAAAGTGCTAATTTGATGTCCATTAAGTTTATTTTTTCTTTTATTATTAATGCTTAGATACGTATATATGGTTAATCAGGGAGTTTACAGCTGTAATTCGGTTTATTAATCACATAGAGTTCGCAAATGAACTAATCAAAATCAAGACTTAGTTACCTACATATATTGGGCTTTAAGAAAACGTCATGTAGAGTTCTTCTTCATAGATTCTCTAATAATAAAGAGTGAAAGTAAATGATTGAATCAAAAAAACACTTAGGGAGTTATCTTATAAAGGATAGGTAATGTAGAGTTCTTCTTCTTTATTATGTATTATATGTTAACGTTTGTAATTTTAGGTATATTTTAATTATTGAAATATTGCATGCTGTAAGGCTGAATTTGGCTGAACATTAAATATGTTATTATCAAAATCTAAATGTATGTACTAACCCAAGTTCGCAATAAAGTGTTTGATTTGATTTGATTCATTTTTCTAAATGACTCGGTATGCTTGCCGCGTCTTCTAGTAACTAAATTCAAAATATTTAATTCAGCATTAAATGATTACAATTTTTTACTGAACGTCACGAGTCTACTACCAGTTTAACTTTCTACAAATCTCTAATGCTCTGCAGTAAACTTTTAAGTGTGTGATAAAAGCTGCCTATATTAATCGTAATTCTCCGGCCAGTCAATTATGTCTATGAAAAAAATATACCTTAAAAAGAATCTGCATAAAAGATAAATTAACCAACAAACAATATTCGCATTAATAATATTATTTAACGTTCTTGATTAGTCTCTACTTGTATCAAAACATGCAACTTAAAAGAATAGTTCTAAATGTCCATTACAATATAATTACATTAATGCTGTTAGTTTGTTAGCTGTATAGATTCACTTTATTTTCAACGATGATGATATATGGCCTACAGGCTTTCTCAATAAACGGCCTAGCTAATGCAAAACAATTTTTCAAATCGGATTAGTAGTTCCTGAGATTAGCGCGTTAAAACAAACAAACTCTGTCTTCATAATATTAATATAGACTAGCAGACCCGGCCACGTGTTGCTGTGGTACACTTATAATTCATTCAATTATTAAATTATGCAATAAAAAAAGGAAATAATCGGGATAAAACTATCCTATCTTTTAAATTGGAACAAATCACACATTTGAAAAAAAATACCTTAAGGTCGGATGAGTAGTTTCGGAGTTCATCGCGGACTAAAATCATGACACGGGAATTTTATACATTACTAGCATTGCCCGCGGCTCCGCCCGCGTTCAGGTGACAAAAACCAAATTCTTAGGTTTCACATATTAGTGTACTTTTACATTGCAGTTTTTGTATTTTTTCTCAGAAATGAGATATTTTCCCGCGGTAAAAAGTATTCTGTATGTACCCGGATAACCAGATATCACCATGCCAAATTTCATGAAAATCCCTGCAGTGGTTTTTCTGTGATGCGGTAACAGACAGACAGACAGATTAAAATTGTAAAAACTATAGATACGGCTTCTGTATCGATAATAATGTTTATTTCAACAAAATTTTCCAAAAAATATTCAATGTACAGATTCGGTTTATATCAATTTTATTATATGTATTGACTTGTGACTCATTCACATTCCGCTCGGGTTCGTCCCTAGTTACGTTTTAACTTGTAGTATAGATTTCTCAGAGATGAGGTATTTTCCTGCAGTAAAAAGTATATGTTGACTCGGATAACCATCTATCGTCGTACCAAATTTCATCAATATTCCTCCAGTAGTTTTACTGTGATGCGGCCATAGACAGGCAGACAGATTAACATTCTAAAAACTATAGATTCGGCCACTGTATCGATAATAGTGACTATTACAGTAAAATTTTCCAAAACATATTTAATGTACAGATTCGGCTTAGTTACAATTTTATTATATGTAGGTATAGAAGATTTAGTCGATTTGTTGCTCCGTTATTATGTGAAAGAAGGGCAAATTATGAAACATATTAAACAATCACAGTGATATACATGTGAAAGTTATAAAGTGAATAAATCAGTGTGTGTGTATGTTTGTAAGTTCTCGAAGCTGTAATAACTCTATGGTTTCAATTGAAATTCGGAATGGACAAAGTTTATATCGGGATGTAAACTATCTCCGGTAATACAAAAGTTTACCCAATACTAAGTATTACATCATAATTCTTTCTTAGATTTACGTAAATATTTGACATTTTAAATTTTCGAATGCTTTACAGCAATCATGGACACGGGAGAGACTAAGGTTTTAGACGTCTCATATTTTTATAACTATTATATTAATTATTAATTATAGGCGTAGGCTCAACATCACCTACCTAATAAACGAGAAACTTACAAACATAATGAAATGAAATAAATGAAATGAAATAAAATTTACTCAATTAGACTTATTACAAGCACTTTTGAATAACAGTTGAAATAAAACATAAAAGTTTATATTTGAATTTTAGTTAATCAAATAATATACTTTCTTAGAATTACGGGGATATTTGACAGAAGGAATAGGAGAGACTCTGCTAGTTAGTTATTCGCATTAAGCTTTTTACGCAGATGAACTAAATCCTCGATTAACAGTTATAATACCATTCCTCCTGTGGGATTTCGTAGGATTCACCTAGAGTATCCTTACAGACAGAGGTTACAATTTTCTTCCTTATGCCTCTACATTTGAGGATGATGTGCAATTTTGCGCATTTTAATTGCCAAAATAATCTTTGGCTTTTTTTAATATAATATTATAGGGTCGGCCCTATATTTTAACGGTTACTACAGATTTCTCAGATATGAGAAATCTCTCCCGGGTTACGGGGAGGGTCTCTCCCGTGACCATGAATGCTGTAAAGCATTCGAAACGTCGGAAAACAAAAATGCAAATAAATCCGCGACAAAATCCGAAAAGATAGTTTTATTTAAAATGTCAAATATTCGCGTAAATCTAAGAAAGTACGATTCCTATTAGTGGATTTTTTTTTATTTCGTTTGTTTGTTTAACATATTTTATTTTACAATTTAATAAAAATTACGTTTTAAATAAAATAAAACTATCTTTTCCGTTTTTTTTGCTTATTTATTTTGACTTTTGGTTCCCGACGTTTCGAATGCTTTACAGCAATCATGTTCACGGGTCTCTCCCGTCCCGTTCCATTAAAAATGTCAAATATTTACGAAAATCTAAGGTAGAAACGTTATCCGTATTATTTATATTTTATATTATAAATGTGAAAATTTGTAAGTGGTATGTATGAATGTTTGTTACTTTTTCACGCCAAAACAGCTGACCGTATCTGGATGAAATTGGCACAGAGATAGATTATGGTCTGGAATAACACATAGGCTACTTTTCATCCCGGAAAAATGTACGGTTCCCGTGGGATAGGTTTGTTTTTGTTTTCTTAGAGATGAACCCGAGTGAAGCGAGGGTGAGCCGCTAGTTAAATTATAATATTGGAATTGTTAAACATAGTAACTTACATCTCATCTGTTTCACAGTATCCATTTTACCTACATGTAAACGGTAAAATGAAAGTTCTGGAATATTTTATATTAACACTTGACATTGGCAAATATGACTTCAAATCTATGGCAATCAAGCTGACTTCTTGGCTATTAAAAAAACTAAAAGCGAAAATTGCGGTAAAATTAGTCTTTTATAGAAAAAATGTACTGATTAGGTACATATAATATTAGTACTTATATCTGCCGATCACATGAATAGCCGCTTTAGTAGATTCGTTGTTTCAAACGGTCAACTAATATTATTAATCCATACTAATGTTATAAATGTGAAAGTGTGTTTGTTTGTTTGTCCTTCTTTCACGTCGAAATGGAGTGACAGATTGGCGTGGATTTTTGTGTGGAGATAGTTGGAGAGCTTAGAGTGACATACTTTTTATCGCGGGAGATTATCTCATTCCCACGTGGAAACACGTTATAATATAACCCAAAAAAATATGTATGATCAGAATCACTTGAAACTTGGTATTAATTTCTTCAATACAATTAAAGAAATACGTGTTCAAGCATGTTTCGAAATTCATTCTATAAGGGGGTAAAGTAGGGGTTGAAAGTTTGAATAAAACCTTACTTTTTAGAGCTTTTTTTGTAGTCTTAGCGAGAGCGGAGTCGCGGATTCTGCTAGTATAATAATATTTAAATGTTATGTATTTTATGAATTGATTATTATAATATTGACAGATAATATGCAACGTATCCTGTTCGCTTATTGGAAATGTGATGTCATTTATTGATTTATTCTTAGAATGACGAAACTAGTAGGTATAGTATAGGTACCTATAAGTATATACGATTCATACATATGAAAATAATAAACCTCCTTAGGTAAAGTAGTGTTTAGTTAACATTGATAAAGAGTGGGTCGCGGGTTTTATTATCCAACTCAATTTTCTTATTAATGTCTTCAAACCGTGCCAGTGCCAGATTACTTCGCCAATGTCACGTAGAATGGAGAAAACACGGCTTTTATTATTAGACTAGCATTGCCCGCGGCTCCTGCCCGCGTTCAGGTGACTAAAAACCAAATTCTTAGGTTGTACATATTATTATACTCTTACATTGCAGTTTTTGTATTTTTTCTCAGAAATGACATATTTTCCCGCGGTATAAAGTATCCTATAGGTATGTTGACCCGGATAACCAGCTATCACCATACCAAATTTCATCAAAATCCCTCCAGTGGTTTTTCCGTGGTGCGGTAACTGACAGACAGATAGACAGACAGACAAAAATTCTAAAAACTATAGATTCGGCCTCTGTATCGATAATAATGTCTATTTCAATAAGATTTTCCAAAAAATATTTAATGTACAGATTCGGCTTAGTTAGAATTTTATTATATGTATAGATAAGAGATTTGGTAATTACAATGAATACCTACATTAAAAATTGAAATTGATAGTGTCACTATTATAAGTTTAATTTACCTACTGTATGTTGTAGGTACTTGGTGACTTTCTAACATTTTTTAACATGATAACACTCAGGCCATTTTTAATCAAGTCAAAATATAGGTAGGTACTTACTTATTACTTTTAATCAAATACACTTGAACAAGCATTTTTTTAAAGTTATAATTCGTGAATTTCTTTAAATTAGCTAGTAATGATACTTTAGTTAAGTAGGTTATGTTTCGTGAAAAATGTTTGTTAAAAACACTAACTTTTTATTGAAAATATAAGTAGAACATTAAAGTTAGGTTTTATCGAATAAGAAACACCATCATCTTATACTCGTAAAATCTAAATATTCTTTAGTTTTAGTGTTCTTTTACATTGTTTCAATAGGTAGGTACCATTCAAAAATACTCATAAAAAATTAAGTTTAGGGATATCACCAATTAATTTCACGATACCATTAAATTATGTGTTTGTGATTGTTTATGCTACTATACTCTATTCGCGGAGTGAACCATGCAGAGCACTTTCTCTGTCCCACATTAGCGTACAAACTGATAAGGACAGAAAACTGTCTAGCTCCACCCACTAACACTTGCAACTGGTTTGAAATCATAGGGCTTGTACATATTGCTAATGCTTTAGTGAGGAATTATTAATAATTTGTTATAAGATAAAATCAACAAACAAATAAAATCAACATTAAGGTAAAATTAACTGTATTTTTAAATATTTGTATACCTTTATTATTTATTAATTTTCGCTTTTCGACGTGTCACCGACAACTCCTGCATTGATAATAAATCCTACACGAGAGACGTCTGAAAGGTACGGAATGCAACGACGGACTAATTGTAATCGCGATTGCATTGTAATCGCGGCCTAAGCGTCTTATCTGCAACTAATAATGTAGAAGCGCAAAATCTCAGTGCTTGGTTCATTCGGCGATTACAGTATAGCGACTCATCGTGGCTCCGCTCGCGTTCGTTCCTAGATACGTTTTAACGGTTAGTATAGATTTCTCAGAGATGACATATTTTCTCGCCGTAAAAAGTATCCTATATGTTGACCCGAATAACTATCTAGCTAGAGCTATCATCATATCAAATTTTATCAAAATCTGTCCAGTGGTTTTCTCGTGATACGTTCCCAGACAAACAGACAAAAATTATAAAAACTATAGATTCAGTTTCTGTATCGACAATAATGACAATTTCTATAATATTTCCCAAAAAATATTTAATGCACAGATTCGGCTTAGTTTGAATTTTATTATATGTATAGATTTCCAAAGCGGCTAAACTGATATTAACGGAATGTTCGATTTTTCCTATTTCTCACTATTTATCTGTATAAGGAATTAGATATTTTAAATTACAAAAGAAACAATTCGAATATAAAATCAAAACTAGGTAGAATCAAAAACTTTATAGCATGGAACGAAAATTTAATGAATTTTCCCATACCTTATAGTAGCGAATACGTAATAGGTGGCATTTATCATAACAGGTGCCGTTGCTTAGTTTTCTACTGTTTTCTCACTTTAAATTTATTGAGAGGCAGAAAACACAAATAAAACACAGTATGATTTGACCTTGACAGTTTAATTATACAACAACCATTAAATAAATATAGATAATAAAATAAAAATAATTTATATATATAATAGAATAAATGTTTGACAATTATTTACAAAATACACAGTCATTATTTAAACTACATAGCGAAAGTAAAATATGCTATTTTAATGTTTAAGACGTTTTGCGTAACAACATGTGCTCAAGTGTTGACACTACAAGTGGTGACGGACTCGCGCCTGTCTGTTTACATTGTCAATTTACATTTCGGCAAACAAAAATTGGACGTTTTAAAAATAATGTGGCTCTACATCTTCGATAAAAGCTTGTTACCACATAAAGTTGCGTTAATTTATATAATTTTATCAATCGAGACAAAATACTTTATTTTTAACTATTCTTAAAAACTATCTGTTATACTTATTATTATACTACTATTTATAGATATTTTTTTCGAGATATAGGTACCTCTATTATTTTTAGGTAGGTATATAAAAATATGATACCGATGTTTAATGTTGTTATCAGGCGAAAGTTTATTATTACCTATGCTTACGGAATTGGTTCTAAACTTCATATTCTTTATCGTTCTACCTAATTTATAGACAAAAATATGACATCATCTTCCAATTTGCTTTATAGATAGGTAGGTACCTACTAAGAGTAGATACTTACCTATAATATAGTCTCAATGTTACTTTCACTTTCATTTTGATCTAAGGAATATTTTTGTACTTACTATAATAAAATTGATACGCGGAGGAAATAATAAAAAAACAAAAATGAATATATAGCCAATTTCCAATTTTCACCATATTGAGTACCTACCTATTGCTTATCTTCTGATCGCTTAATTTAAACTTGTTTTCTTCTTAAGTTACCACTTAATCTACCTGATCCGATTTAATTACAAAATTGTTAATACCACGCATAATTAAAGGAAAACAATGTAATTTATAACGAAATTATCACTAATGAATACTGCCTAAACTAAACGTCACAATTTTCCGCCCTGTCAAAACTCAATTTGTCAAACCAAACAAAATGGCGTGGGGTCTGTAACCGCTCGGGAAAATTCTATGTAGCAATACGTAAAGCCTAAAATCGTGTGAGAATTATTTAGCAAAACATTTGACGGGAATCGAGATAGGGTAGAAGATTAAATTGTGTAAATAGGGATTAGGCAGATAAGCTGGGCTTTGTTCGGAAGTGACGAGTTGGCGCCATGACAGTAACGGTAATGCGTGTGGCAGATTTAGGTCAGAGTTATTCACAAGTTACTTCAAAGTTAATACTGGCAGACAGTAATTATTTTTTTTTACATTATGAATGGAAGGTTTTATTTTCTTAGTCACATTAACGGATATTGAAAAAATATAGTCATAGAATAAGATTATCTTATTTTGAATTTATTTTTAAATGTGACTATGAAATATCAATGATGAAATATGAAATAAAAAAAACATATGAATACGGAAAGCCTATTTTTTGTGAAAATAATTGTGTTTTATGTGATGTGAAACAGCGATTTCCAATGAATATGGTGTCTATAAATATTAAAAAGGAAACCTTACTAGCTAACTAGTGATGCTCTAAGTTTAAAACCCATCACTATATCCTAAGTTTTGTATCGGGTAACCACTCTTCCCCATTACTCATATTCTCCTATATTTCAGGTCAAATTCCTCGGGGAGCAGTATAAACTCACCTCTTGGGCCTGCTGCGTCTTGCGGCATGGCAGCTAACCCATACGCAGTGCCGTTGTACGGCGGCGCGCCGGTGCAAGGCTACGGCTGCGCCCCCGCCGACCTGCCCCACTATGGCGACATGCGAGGCGCCAGCTGGTATCCAGCCTCGAACGACCCCAGGTTTGCCAGTGAGTCGGCGGTTTGATTTTTTTCACAAAATAGACTTGAGACTGAGAAAATCTAAGATTTCTTGGACCCTGAGATATTGATATAGTCATCTAGAGAGTGGTTTCTACAAAGGTTGCTGGTTAGATGCCCGCAGAAAAAGCTGTAGTTGTTTATTCTAATTTATATGTGTTCAGACTATGACTTATCCGAGCCGGTATTTAATATTAGTTTTCAATTAATAGGTTTCAACATCGTCAAATCTCATTAAGAATATTATGATTACACCATGACTGATTTGTCAATGCATAAATTTCAAAAATAAGGCATCCTCGGTATTCGTTAAACTATCAATTTTTCAAGTCTACTTGATTAAAGTTTAATTTCATTTTATATTATATCAGGTATATAGGTTTATCTAGCACGATATTCATATAAATATTTCTTTGTAAATCACAAAATAAATATCTGGTGTTCTAAATTAGCTACCACAAACTCTAGAAAATAAAGGCTCTACTTTCTTTCGTTGACTCGTAAGTCGTACCTATTGACTTTGTCGCAAACTGTTTTCAATAGATTTCAGAGTGAGTAGTAGCTAAAGCACTGTATTGCGTTTCGGTGTCACCTTAAAAGATGAAAATCTTTTTCTATAAAAACTTTGTGTATTACTATGTAATAATAATAGGTATTGAAGAACATAAGTTTTATATTTCTATAATAATTAATGTTCTCTCATTTCTCATTATTTTTACATTTAAAAACTGTTATATTTATATCCGACTGGAAACTAAACAATACAAACTGTAAACAGATAAAAAACGAGTAATTTCTCCACTCCCACTCAAAATGGCGGTCCGCGTCAATAAATGCGCGCGCATCAAGCTCGCCTATTACAATTAAAGAGTCGTGAAACTGTAGCCATGTTATTAGTTAATTTCTGAAAAGAGGTTTTATATGTTGCACATTTATCTCCTTAGTAGTTTATTGGTTTTTAATTAAAACAGATTATATAATATGATAATTTTTTACCCATAATATAATATTGTAAATGTTTTAACTATTATATATACATAGCAAATATGCATCTTAAATGAAGTAACTAGTAATCTAACATAATATTATACATACCTAGATAACATAAAGAAAAACACAAAGTGTCTGTATATGTAAATTGTATAGGTGCCTACGTTTACGGGGTGTGCTCTTTAATTTCTTGCAGTTAAGAAGTCCTAAGTTTCCTCAAATGTTATAAATAGGTATATGACACTATATACGCGAAAAGCACATAAACAGTCTATTTTGCTCGAATCAAAATATATTTTTATAATAAAAATAATCTGTGTGTTAGCTCAGTTACGCTTTAAGAAGTAACAAACATAAAAGTATATCCACCAACGTTCGCATTTATAATATTAATGTAATAACATGCCGAAACCTCTTTATATCTTTGAAAAAGGTAAATGCTAAAGATCTCGTATTTAAAAATACTAACTTTACTCCCAAAAATATTTCTTTACATGTAAAGATTTTCTATTTGAATAAATCCTAACTTTTACGGTCATTTACGGAAATTGCACTAGCTACTTAGTTTTAAAGTGTCTCAAATTGCAAGATTAAGCTTGATGAGTCAACACCATTAGCCATAAACATAAAAAGAAGCAGTGCATGCGTGCGGCGGCGTGTCTTTCCGCCGTCGGCGACGCTTAGTAACTTTACACTTGAAAATAATCCGGTACATTTACTCTTAAGTGCGTGATACTTTTTATAGATATTGTTATCAAAATCTTAGATTTATATATATGTTTTAAAATATAGTGCAATATTAGTGTTATTAAATAATATGATTTATAATAGCTTTTTGTTCCAAGAATACGATATTTTTTCTAAACTATCTAATTATAATTTATATTAGTATCTTATCTTTTTTAAAGTATCATATTAAACTACTTATTTAAAGTTATTAATTACAAAAACGGTCAAATTAAACTTTATCTCGCATTCGATCACTAATAGCATAAATATGTGCCCATCTTAAAACATATGGATTTATGTAAATATAAATAGACTAGTGACTCACCCTCGCTTCGCTTGGGTTAATTCCCCATACAAACTTTCATACGCATTTTCACCACCTTAAGGGATGATTTTTAGAATAAAAAGTATCCTATGTCCTTCCCAGTGTCTCAAACTATCTTCTTACCAAATTTCATCTAAATCGGTTTAGTACATCCAGAGATTACCCCCTACAACGTCACAAACTTACAAACTCACAATTCACAAAACCTCTTTATTATATTAGTATAGATAGGTATATTATATTATTGATATTTATTCATGGTGCATACTGCTTTACCTGGTATTATGTGTGCCACGGAATTTTTTTCACTTATTCTCCTCTATATTGCTTAATTATAGAGAACGATATTTTAATTTCTAACGTCATACAACCTTTTGACCTGTCGTCACTTGACTTTATTCAGTATTGATTTCATCGTACTGAGCGACGTAACCGGAGCTGGGACCTACATTAGTTGCACAGGTGCGTTTAAGGAGCCGATCATGGCTTGTTTACATTCGCCTAGGTAGTGGGAGGCTACCGTTTGGGATCCAAGCTTATTTGTTATTTTATGACTAGCCATTCTCCCTGCTCACATTCTTTGTCGTATTTATTATTAAATAATTTCTATTTATACAAAGAAAATTCTTTAAAAAAACCGTAATTAATATTTGGTAGATAGCTCTAATTTAATTTTGATGCAGGTAGTATTCAGAGATATATAATAAACGCGTAGTCAAATAATATTTTTTTATATAGTAATCACACTATTATTATAAATGCGAAAGCTTGTATGTATGTATGTATGGTTGTTACTCCTTCAAGCTGCAATTGCTGGACGGATTTCGATGAAAACTACCTAATATGGCGAGCTAAGCCAGGGTTAGTCACTAGTAAAACTATAATATTTAAAGGAGATGAATATTTGACAAAATGTCACCATCTTTATCTTGTAAATAAACAAAGTCTTGTAAAATAAAACGTTCTATCGACATTTGATTGCCGTAAATTGATTATTCCTTGCCAACTAATTCCGAAAGTGCACTCCATTCGAGATGGCGCTGACCCGCCAACCACTCAATAGACAATACAAATCAAAGAACTCTGAAACTTAATCTGAATCCCAAATCCGGGAGTCATAGAGAAAGTTCAAATGATAGAGGACAAATAATAATTATTAATGTTTTGATCGTATTCTTTATTGAGCTAGCTTTAGCTACTTTATCTTTATCTAGTCACGGTATACATTAGGTACGTATCTACTGTAGGTATAATTTTAAATGCAAATTTAAGCTCCACAGCATTTAGAATCACTCATAAGCGGATTTCAATGAGCTTTATATATTCCGGGATAAAAAGTAGTCTATTTGTTATTCTGATGTATGAGCTATATTATTGTAAAGTTTCATCAAAATCCATTCAGTAGGTAGTTGCGTGAAAGAGTAACAAACATACATCCATACATCTATACATACATTCTTACAAGTTTTCACGTTTATAATATTAGTAGGATAATATACATTTTAGTAAAATTATTTTTCGGTTTTTTTCTCGGATTTATAATTAAAGTTTTAGTTCCCGACGTTTCGAATACATTACCACGGTAATGTGTAATATACCTATAACATTACTGTGACTTTACAACAATCATAGTTGCGGGAGAGACCAATTATTGGCGTAAAGCTTTATACATTAATAGTTCGAATCAAAAATTATAGTTCCCAGTTCTTTCTTAATTGAATATGTAGATTCAAAAATAGCTAGCGCTTTCCGTTCTGTGCATTTCAAGACAATATTATATAGACTGGGTCGCTAGATAAATAGAAACACATAGGTAAGCAAAAGAAGTACCTAATATGTCATAATATATAATATACCTAATCATAGAGCTGATGGAAAACGAAGGTCTCCATAAAATGCAAGTAGACCAACGTGGTAAATTCAATTAATAATAAACTTTAACATAGGTATATTAATTATCTGTGGCAATTTTTACAAAAAAAATACACGAATAAAAATCAATGACATATTATGAAATATTGCATAGAGTAATATTTACCTATTTATAAAAACATTTAACTGATGAAATATGCATAATTTAAAAAAAAACACTTAAATAACAGTAACATTAAAAAATTCTTGCAAATGAATAATGGCAACACAATGCAGAACTAACCACTATAGTATGATATACATGTACGATCAGTATAGGCCGTGGTTCTTGAACTTAAAGATGTTATTGTTTGCACATTGCTCATTAATGAGCCGTTCGTTGTCTCTTGACTTCGCTCCGTCATCAGTAGGTACCTACTAGTTAAATCTGTGCATGAGAATTGTAAGCCCTTTTAACTACCTCTTACACCGGGGTTTACCTGTGTTGTGGCCTAATTTTATTATATACGTACATATACAGACAAAAGATTTTTAAAAAAATTGTAAGCTTTTTGTAAGATGTTCACAATGTGAAGCGTTTAATAAATTAAGTACATAATTATTGATAAACAAATTAATGTAAGTAGCTATAGCTCAAACATAAAAATATATTGAAAATTAGTTACTGCCCGTTTTGTTTGAAATTGGATAATTACCCCATTTGAGAGTATTATTGGGATTAGTCCAGGATATGACCTATCCGTGTGCAAAGTTTTATCTAAATCCGTCTAACGGTTTGCGCATAATAGAGTAACGAACATCCAAACATTTTATATAAACTGTTATACTTATAATAGGAAATACAATAAAAAAATAGTTGTAAATGTTGCTAGCATATTTTTTTTGCTTTTTATCAAATACACAGACATACTAAAAAAATATAAACAATATGACAAAAGCTGAAAGGCTTACAAATTAACGAACCGTACAACCATACAAGTAATCATTCTTAAATCTAAAGAGATTAAAACGGTAAACCATAGTTAAACACAAAAACATGCACTCGAATACCGTACACCGAATTATTACACTAGA